TGAGACTTGTTTTGCCACCTAACATATGGTTTATCCTTGAGAACGATCCATGTGCTGACAAGAACGTGAATTCCACAGCTATTGGTTGAAATGTTCTGTACCTATTAGGTCCATTTGGCCTATAGTGCAGCATAAGTCTAATGTTTCAGTGTTGATTCTCTGGCTGGGTGGTCTGTTCAATGCTAAAAGTATGGTGTTGAGGTCTTCAATGATTATTCTATTGGGGTATATTTCTCTCTTTAGCTCTGATAATACTTGCTTTAAACATTTGGGGGCTCCAGTGTTGGGTGCATATATACTTAGATTTGTTATATCCTTTTGCTGAATTGACCCCTTTACCATTATATAATTACCTTCCATATCTCTTTTTATAGTTTGTTTTCTTTAAACCTATTTTCTCTGATAGAAGCATAGCTACTCCTGTTCTTTTTTGGTTTCCATTTGCATGGAATAACTATTTCCATCCCTTTATTTTCAGTCTATGTGCATCTTTATAGGTGAGGTGTGTTTCTTGAAGACAACAGTTAGTTCTTGTTTTGTTTATCTATTCACCCACTCTTTGTCTTTTGATTTGAGAGTTTAGTCTATTCACATTCAATGTTATTAATAGGTAAAACCTTTCTATTGCCATGTTGTTATTTAATTTCTGGTTGTTTTGTGGTCCATTCTTCCTCTCCCTCTTCCTTCCTTCCTTGCTTCCTTCCTTCCTAATTCCCTCCTGTCTTTTTTTTAAAGTGATTTCCTCTGGTAGTGTGTTTTAATTTCTTGCTTTTTATTTTTTGTATATCTATTGTAGGTTTTGTGATTTGAGGTTACCATGAGGCTTGCAAAAAACATTTTATAGCCAATTATTTTAAACATATGACAACTCAGAAATTCTACCTTTTAACTCCACCCCTCTTGCTTTTTAAAAACTTTTTTTTCCTACCCATGTCTTTTTTACTATTTATCTTTTAAAAAGTTGTTAATTTTTGATAAGTTTATCTATTGGTCTTCCTACTCAAGATGTAAGTGGTTTATATATTGTGATTACAGTAAAAAAGTATTCTGTATTTGTGTACTTACTGTTACTAGTGAGTTGTATACCATCGGAAGATTTCTTGTTCATTAACATCCTTTTCTTTCTGACTGAAGAACTCCTTTATAGAATTTCTTGTAGGACAGGTCTAGTGTTGGTGAAATCCCTCAGCTTTTGTTTGTCTGGAACAGTCTTTACTTCTCCTTCATGTATGCAGGATATTTTTGCAGGATATAATATTCTAGGGTTAAGGTTTTTTCCTTTGAATATGTTCTATTGAACATAACAGAATATAACATATTCCATTGAATGGAATATGTTATATTCCATTGAATATGTTATACTCCTTTGAATATGTTATATGTTATATATATTCCTTTGAATATGTTATATCCTTTGAATATGTTATGTCAATTTTCACTTTGAATATGTTATGTCACTCTCTCCTGGCCTGTAAGGTTTCCACTGATAAGTCTGCTGCCAGACATACTGGAGCTGCTTTATATGTTTTTACATTATATAAATATATATGCTTTATATTTTTTCTTTTCTTTTTCTTTTTCTTGCTTCCCTTAGGATCTTTTCTTTATCTGTGCCCTTTGGGAGCTTGATTATAAAATGTCATGAGGTAGCCTTGTTCGAGTTAAATCTACTTGGTGTTTTGTGACCTTCTTATACCTGAATATTGATATCTCTAGGTTTGGAAAGTTCTGTTATTTCTTTGAATAAACTTTCTACCCCAATCTCTCTCTCTACCTCCTCTTTAAGGCCAATAACTCTTAGATTGGTTCTTTTGAGGCTATTTTCTAGATCTTGTAGGTGTGCTTTATTCTTAATCCTTTTTTTTAATCTCTTTTATGACTGTGTATCTTCAAATAGCCTGTCCTCAAGCTCACTAGTTCCTTCTGCTTGGCTAATTCTGCTGTTAAGAGACTCTGATGCAGTTCTCAGTTTGTCAATTGACTCCCTAAGCTCTAGAATTTCTGCTTGATTTTTCTTTATTATTTAATCTCTTTGTTAAAATTCTCTGATAGGCTTCTGGATTCCTTCTCTGTGTTGGCTTGAAGTTCATTGAGTTTCTTCAAAACAGCTATTTTGAATTCTTTGTCTAAAAGGTTACATATCTCCATCCCTCCAAGGTTGGTCACTGGTACCTTATTTAGTTTTGTGAGATCATGTCTTCCTGGATGTTCTTGATGCTTGTGGATATTCATTGATGTCTGGGCATTGAAGAGTTAGGTATTTATTTTAATCTTCACAGTGTGGGCTTGTTTGAACCTGTCCTTCTTGAGAAGGTTTTCCAGATACTCAAAGGGAATAGAGTGCTGTGGTCTAAGTCTTTGGTCACTGCAGCTGTATCAGCACTGGGGTTGTCCCAAACCCAGTAATGCTTTGACTCTTGCAGACTCCTGGTGGTACTGCCTTGGTAAGCCTGGGTAAGATACAAGAGAATTTGCTAGATTATCAGTCAAAGTGTCTCACCATTTTCCCTCATTTTCTGATGGGCTGCTGGATTTGGGGGAGGAGTGGCGTGGACACTAACTCATGGCCTCCAGTGCCAGGTCACACCTGAAGCCTACCCAGGCTCACCCAAAGCCAGTGGTGACTGTTGCCTGGCTGCCTCTAATGTTTATTCGAATTCCAAGAGCTCCTTAGTCAGCAGGTGGTGACTCCTACCAGGACTAGGTCCTTCTCTTCAAGGCAGCATGTTTCCTTCTGGCCCAAAGTAGGCCCAGAAATGCCATCCAGGAACCAAGACCTGGACTCAGGGGCCTCAGGAGTCTGGTAATTTATTTTACCGTGGCTGAGCTGGTACCTAAGTTGCAAAATAAAGTCCTCTGGCTCTTCCCTTTCCTCTTTTCCTCAAGTGGAGGGAGACTCCCTGAGCTGCATTGCCTATAGTTGGGGGAGGGGTGACACAGGCACTGGCTTGGCCACAGCTGCTGGTGTCTCAGTGGGTCATGTACATCCCAAGTCCAGGGGCTCTGAGCCGGCACAGCCACAGGGACTGCCCAAGGACTGCAGCCCTTGTGGCCCAACTGCTTTATGAACTTAGTGCTTTTTGCCTGCCAGTTGGGGGCCTAGTGGGAACTTGGGCTTCAGAGCAGAGGATTTGTCTCCAGCAGAGCTGGTCAAAACGATTGGTCCATGGGCACCGGCAGACTTTTGCCCTTTGCTGGGTTCCCCTGTGCCAAGGAGGCCCTGGAGTTCGATGCAAAGCCACAGAATCATTTCACTCTCCCTTCCCCGGGCACACAGATCCTCTCTTCACTTGGGGCGCTGGTGCGGCACTGCTGGGGCTGGGGAAGAGGCGGCGTAGGCAATGCAAGACTGTCTTTTCTGCCCTTGTGCAGTGCCTCTTTCCTTGACATAATGTTATAGCCAGGTAATATGACTGCTCACCTGATTTTTGGTTCTTCTGAGACTGCTTGCTTGCGTGGATAGTCGTTGAATTAGATGTTCACGCGGCAGGACGATCTCTGGAAGTTTCTATTCAGCCATCTTGCTCGGCCTTCCTCCAAGATAAACTCTGCTAATTTATGGCCCCTGCCTTAACTCAGTATTTCTAAAATGGCACAACTAAAATCTTTACAAATAATTTAGTAAAATCGGACTTAATGGTGTATGGCCTCAATGTTCAAAGAACCTTGTGATTTTTTGGTGAGTGATTGCGTGTGTAAGGCTGGTGTCATCATCACCAGGAAAGTACTCAGGAGGCTCTCACAGGGGAGAGGAAACAACTTCCCAAGGTTCCTTCCTTGGACTCAAAGCAGAGCTGGGTTTGGGAACGTCCAAGCTACGTGCACTGAGCTCCCCATGTGAAAGAAGAGGCCTCCACGGGCATGGGGCGTGAGGGCAGACCCCAGGGCCCTCTCCAGTTTCCTCGAATGTGACATAATTCAGCATGCATTTGAAAATGGATTTGAGTCAGTCATAAAGTGAGTCAAAACCCACTTCAGTCTCTTCTATGAGTTATTAAACTATACTCTGGTTTTGCTGAGCACAAAATGAAGGATAATATTTTGTTGGGTTGCTTTACATAGTTATATGTTTACTTACATAATGAAAGGTATTTGTTGAAAGTTTCTATGATGCTCATGGTTGATCTCTCTTCTGCCTCAACCCCTCTCAACACCTTCCCTCCTCTCTCCACCTCCTTAACGCTCGAGTGATTGGAGACCTTGATCCTGAAGCTAGACAGACTGGGAAAGTTGCCTCAACTGAGTGCCTCAGCTTTGCCTCTGTAAAAGTAGGATGATAACAGAATCGAACCCAGGACTTGTGTAATGAATAAAAGGGAACAAGTATGAATATAATGTTTAGAACACTGCCTTGTTACTGGGAAGTACTCAAATCATATTTTATAATTATTATCTATCACCTGTTTTATAATCTGTTTTATATCTCTGTTTTATAATCATTAGTAGTACTTAATACCATTTCCCTTTGTAGAACAGATTTTTTTTCTAGGTCTTTAATTGAAAGACACTATATAATAAGATAAACAGACTTTTCAAGTGCTTATTTTAGCAATTATTTAAAGATATTCTACTCATTAATGGTCTTATTTTCAAAAGACTCTATAATCCAATTTTCTTAAAAATGTATACAAATCAGTTAGCCTTAGCATGTGCTAGATGGATCATTCTACATTTAAATGACACACAAAAAATCTGAAGAAATTATAATTCATGGAGACTCAATTCTGGGCTCTGAAAGATGTATCTTTCACATGACTTTACATTTCTGGACCACACTTAAGTTTTATATTCATTAAAATATTAAGTTAGAAATCCCTCCTCAGGTGCTGGCTGTTATGAAATAAAAACTTCCTTCTCTTTTTAATGTAGATTCTGTCTTGTTCTGTGTTTTAAATTACTATACACAAATAGTAAAATTTTTCATAACAAAGGTTTAATTAGAATGGTTAATAACTATGATTTTCAAAGTGTCTGAGTCAGCCTTAGTAATAATTAGGGAGTTTTGTTCCATACAAAATGCTTTATTTAACCTTCATGCCTTCATTCAGATAATTATACAAATGCATACAGTTAAAGGTTTAAACTCTATTTCGGTTCACAGCTCAATTCATAGGAAAGTTGAATACAGAAAAGCAATGCACCAACAGAATATGTCTGAGACACCATTAAAAACAATAACACTTGTTCATTTAAATCTCTGAGAATAGACTGGAATAATCATCCTCTGAGAGAATCTCATTAGGAGGGTCTCCCTTTACATTATCTTAGGGCAAAAAAAAAAAAATCACCATTTTACAGTAAAAGGAAAAAAGCTCTGAGTATATTTACAATACATACACTATACATAAATACAAGAACAACACTTACATAATATTAATAAACTTATAACAGGGGTCGCCTAAACACTACAGAGTATATAAATGCAGAGGAAACTATTGGGAAATTAGATCTTTAGATAAGCTGGAGAAATAAATTCATTTGCAATTAAAATTCTGAACCGAAAACCAAATGAAGTTTTAAGAACTCAACACGTTTGTTTGCCAGCATCATTGGGCTTTATGCTTCAATGTGTAGGACTCCTCTGGGCACTCTCACTCTCTGGGGCCACAGACCCAAGAGTGTTTTGTAAAGTTACATCCTAAAGTAAATCAGACGCAGCCCATCTATTCATTTCACTGTTCAGAGGCTTCAAGCCTAGAATAACTGTTTTGTAAACTAAAGGATGTTTTTGTATTTTTTACACAGAAAGATCTTATGATCCAATCACCATGTATAATGAGCTAAGTGTCCAGGAAAAGAAAAAAATGATGCCTGCTTGATTTGGCCAAAGATGATGTTTTTTCTTTATTCCCATGTACTTTCTTCAAATATGACTGAGAGATTTATTCCAAAGAATATGACATTTGAATTGATCCCCACACACCAAGAACAAAGTCTAGACTACTACTAATTATAGCTAAGTCATTTTAAGTGGCAGGTGGGTATCTTAAAAGGTGGTCTGTTCTCAACGTTTCACAACACAAAGTTCTGAGTACGTTCTTCTACGGACAGACGTGAATTTGCTGGTTTCTCTTTTTCTTAAAAAAATGAGCATGTTATGATACACATAATTGCATTATGATGCAGGATGACATAATACATAAGACGATGTTTTCAAGCTGGTTTTGTAAGTAGTTATCTCACATCCACAGAGAGTTGGTTTGCCATGTGATGCAATGTGTCCCACATAGACATGAACAAAACAATACAGCCGCCATCCTGCAGAGGGGACGGTGATTTTTAAAAATGAATCTTTAAACACAACAAATTGTGGACAGACAAGTTGATAGGAAAGAGCCTTGAATATAGGCACCAGTGCCCCAGTTCAACCACACCCATCCAATGTAATAAAGTTTGAGGAATAAAATATGTACTATAGTCTGGATGCAATCACAAAATTCTGCCATAGGAAAACTAGAATGAAGTAGGCAAAAGCATTTTCTATAAGGATTTTTTTTTGCTCTATCTTTGGAGCATGAAATTAGCGGAAAGGGAAGATGTTGGTGTATCCCTAAAATATCTTACTTTTTGATTGTTCGGACACTTTTACTAACAGATTTGGATCCAAATTCTACCCTCCTATTCACCTTCATTTCTCAACAAAAATGAATCTCTGTGAAAGTCTTGGTTAACCTGCTTTGGAAAAAGCTATAATAATTCACACGAGGAGTCAAGAAAGAAAAATTATGGATGCGACTGTTTTCCATTATTCATCTCTTTTCAACCCCAAGTTGTGGTTTTTGTCGCTGAGAAATTATTGCTTGTGAAACCCAATTAACTGAGAAGAGCCTCCGTCTGCAGCAGGCTGTGCCCATGGAATACATGCTTTCGGCATGGAAGAGAGTTTGTTTATACAGGTTTTTATCTCTTCCCCCAGCCAAGTAACAGGGAGAAAAGATCATAATTCAGGAGATTCATTTTCAGAAACAGAACACTATGAGAAATGACATCCTCTTAATGTTTTCTAAATCCATTAGTACTCCCATGAATCAATACTGTCAGAGACCTTGTTCTACACAGAACAGAGGGAGGGATTGCATCTCTCTGATGTTGGACAGCTTCTTACACAAAATTCAATTAAACTAACAATAATACTACAAACAAATTATTTATAAGACTATTTAAAACATTCCAAGGTGGTGCTGTTAAGTTAGAACTCTGAAAAGGAATGATCCATCCATTATCTGTCTTTGCTCATCATCTGAATGTTTGGCGATCACTGCCCCATCACAACTGCCAAGAGTGGGCTCTGATGTTAGAAACTAGTTCTGTGGAGGTGAAAGTTTCAAATGCACCTTAAGCAGATTCTAGTAGGTCTATGTTGGTGGGAAAGCATTTACTGTATGCACAAATATGTAGAACTGAGAAAACCAACTTGGGCTAAAATGCTACCAAGGTTTGATGATTTGGGAGCTCCAGACCAGACATTTAGGAGAAAAGTGACAAGTTCAGAAAGACATCTGGTGGTGGTTGTTTGTTTATGATGATCCTTCTTGCACAACTTTCTAGGAGAGGCCTGATTTCAAATATTCTGGACCAAATAATTTGTTATCATGTCTCAATATTTTACTTGGAAAATAGAACGACAATGCACGCACGCTGCCCATAATAAAACTACGCAGAGTCAGAAATATGGGATGGTGGCTACTAGGAAGCCACGTGCAATGTGGTACAGTGGAAAGGATACAGGCCCCAGAGCCTTTTCTGTGTCCATGAACTCAGCCATCCTTTCTGTGCCTTAGTTTCCCATCCATCAAATGCAGAACTGTTATACAGAAGTTGGAGGTAATGTATCTAAAAATTGCCTAGCCTAGTGGTTGGCACATAGTGTTTAATAAAGAATAGCTATTATTTTCACTGTTTGCTGAATTCTGGGCTTTTCAAGGTATTTACTACTTTCAGACAACCCATGGAAAGAAGCCCAGTGAGAAGACCTGACTTCAGTGAAATTTAGGAACCCCACAGCTCTCCTCTGACACTTCATCGGTTATTTTACCCCCTATGCGGGCGGGTACATTTCCTTCTCCCTCTCCTCCTTTTTGAAACTTGGAGGAGAAAACAGTAGATGGTTTTCGAGGCCTGTGGTCTGGGTCTAGAACACTGCTCATCATGGTAGTCTCTACTCTCTAAAGTCTGAGTATTTAATCACAGTCGTCATACTTTTAAAATTGCTCTTACCAAATGTTTGGCTCTCAAAGAGTATAATTTTACTGATAGCCTCAATAGCTTGTTTGGGTGAATTCGTGCTTTAAGATGGCAGGGTTGGAGAATTTCCAGGGTTCATGTCAATTCACGTAACCTCATTGCATAATTTTATCCGTGACTTTACTTTTAGCAGTAAAATAATTGTAGGAAAAACCTGTGAAGTTCTAAATGTAAATCTGGTAATTTTGCAGACTAACTGGAAAATTGGTTAAAGCCCTCCTAAGTGTCAGTGGTACTTCAGTAGACTATATGGGAAGAAATACTCAGTATTCACTCCAAAATGGTTCTTAGACGATAACAGGAAATATTAAAGGAAAAGAGAATGGAAAAACTTAAGGATGGATTTGTACATTTGCTATAGGTGGATAAAATAAAACAAATATCCTTCAGTCTTTTGCTGTAAATAAATTGGTGTTTTTGACTGAGCAAAACTTTTTAGCCATATATGTTTCTTCACAAGTTTGAGGCAAATCACAGTCAAGTTTTTAATCTGAAAATTATAATTATCATATGCCATAGTGTACATTGACAATAACCTTCATGTTCAGATTTGCATTCTTACATTCTGCAAGTTAGAAGGATCAAATTAAAAAAATGTTAAAGTAAACAAGATTAGGTATATTTAAAAGACACGAAAGTCTTTTTTGTAGGTATGTGAGCAGATTCGATTTACTATGTGCATATATTTACTCTGTGTGTGTGTGTGTGTTTTCAAAATGTGCACGAAAAACCCAGTCTGATGAAGAATTATTGCTGTGTAAAAGGATAGGAATATCTCATTGGTCATAATGTTTATTGACAGGCACTTTCAGCTTTAAATTCATTTCTGAAAATGGACAGTGGCTTATTCCTATTGCCAGTATAGATTCATTGAACATGTGGCCATATCCAGCACTTAATCTCGTCAACATGTAGCTACACCTAAAAGCAGTCCCTGTGGAATTAAACAGGAATAAATACCTGTATTGTTTTTTTGATCAAGAACCACTTTGTTGAGGAGGAAGATAACTGAGAAAAGAGAACAACTGCAAGATTCTCCTCTTTAGCACAAGTAAAATCACGTGCAACTGTTTTTCCCTTTTTCAGGAACAGACATTACTAGTTTGGAATCAGTTGTCTGCAACTTAAAATGACTTTATTGTATTTTAAACCATCCTGGCTAAAACAAGACAAGTGGCCACTCCATTCTGACAGAGAACAAAGAATGTGCTCTGACAAAGTGCAACAGAGTTCCCATGGCAATATCACTCATTGTAAGATATACAAGGCATATCTGAACAAATGTTTTTTTTTTATTTGATGAAAACTAGAAGCTCTTTTCCCCAACATACTTCATCAAACTATTTACAACCTCTGTAAAATTTGTGAGTTTGAAAATACCTTTTCACTATCACATGTTACGAATACAGTAAAATATCTTCACTCTATTTTCTTAAAGATGCAGTATCCTTCTATTTCATTTTCTTATGAAAATCTGAATTTCTATTGCAGTTGCTCAGTATTTAGCATATTTAAAGTACCAATGGACATGGGTTGCTGAACAGACATTACTCTATAATGCAACTGTGAAAATATAGCATTTTAATTTTATGTACATTTCTTAACTATAAAATGCAGGCAGAGTCATATATAGTATTATAAGCTGATTTCCTAATAACTGACAATTTCTAGACAGCATGGATTATTACAAATTCTTCTAAAAAAGTTCTTTGTTGATATTGATTAACCCACTGGTTGCTGCATATACAGATGTGTACACACATGTGCGCGTGTTGGGGGTTTCTGTTAAATGGAAGGCTGTGTGGGGGATGGGTAGAAATGTCGCATGGAAGACATGACTTACCGAACCCCTCTTCTAAACTAAGCCAAATCAAGCTGAAAAGACTTTTTAATGGGATGCGCTACCTCAGAAAAACTCAAGGAAGAGATGGGTCAATGATGTTGTAGCAGAAAATACATTTACTTGCTAAATTTACAGGCATCAGTAAAGAGCAAAATCTGAGATTGGATTGTGAACTATGTATGAATATTAAGGCTTTCTGGGCCTACTATGATTCATGAGTTATCTCACATTCAGTCCCTTGCACAAAGACTGTCACATGGATGCTGGTATCGTTAACACTGATTAATTCTGCCAATCCTCACTGTAAATGCTAAGACACCTTTATAACAACATCATGGCTACATTTCTAAGCAGTCATAACAACATAACAAAGGCTTAGGAGTACATCTGAAGGCCTCACCTCACCAGATTTATTCAATTGCAGCTTTGGTAAGTATAATAAATAAAGTACAGAATAAGGAATACTGCATCTTTATCCATATACATGTCATCATTCTAATGAACTGATTTCAAAGTGCAGAATTATATTTAGGTTTAAAACACAAATGGCGATTTGAAATTAAAAAGAGTTGTATAAAAATGAACACAATCTTTGCATAAGCTATTCCAAATTTCAACCATAATGAAAATGGCCTTTCTAATCACCTGGAGCTAGCATTTTTAAACACTGTCACATTTTGTAAGTTTTTTCCCCTGACAATCATGTTCCTATTTCCCACTTAAAATGTTAAAGTGAATAAAAAGTGCTCATTTTTTTCAAAAAAATGTGATTTATGTTACTGTTATCCAACTGCTTTTGAAAAAAAAATGTCCTATAGTGTTTTATAAAAGTGATGCCAGGCAGTAGTATAATCCTTATGGTAAAGCCACTGGAAATCTCAGTCTAACTGCCTTAATAGAACTTAAGACAAGTCATCAAGCAGGCTTCCCGGAGTCTGTACACAATCGACAGGGTGAGGATCCAAGTGGATGGGGAAGCGTGAATCTTTTTCCAAACAACAAACAGACTATGAAGAGAGACTCTTAGAAAAACCTCAAAGGCTTAACCTCATAACTTCTCAAATAATGTTAACTCCCTTGAAATCAATCTCTACAATGCAAAGAGAAAGTCAGGTCTACTGCAGCTGCTCTAGCTGTTAACAGTTGTATGTGGGTAAGTTCTCAACCACGCATGTGATCCCAGCTGCAAACTGAACAGCTTTCAAATTGAAAACCAAAGAATGGCTTCTAGTTAGGGAACAACTGACAGGTCCTTTAGGATTCCACCCTTTGCCTGTTGCTCGTGATGCACTGTGCTTTTCGAAAGAGGCTAGAAATGGGCATGAGACGAAATGGAGGCTTTCGCATGCCCGAAGATGTTCCATTTCCTTCTGTCCCAAACCATTTATTCTTTTCCGTGGGGAAACACTTTTTAGAAAACTCACCAAGGAGAATTTGCTATGTCCCAGGACAAGCCCCAGAGAAGTTTCAGCGCCTTGGGCTAGATCAGGGACTCGTTCATTTACTTGTGCTTGGATCCCTTCTCAGAAGTATCGATGTATCCATGGTTTCCACTTTCAGAGGATGAGGAGAAAAGCTCACTTCCTCAAATCTTTCCTACGTTATTAGAGAAGTGCAACTCGTTTAGTTCTGTGCTAAATTTAAACCAAGCTGTCACTCAGGAAGCTTCCACGGCCTGTCAGTTTTAGGAATCTGAAAAACCAAGTCTACCTATAATACTCTCAAGACAGCTCTCAGCAGAGAAAGGACTGGATCCCCTTCTCAGAGCAGCCAGAGCTACATCAAATCTAAACTTCACTCGAGTGATTCACCTACTACCTGCCATCTAGATTCTGGGACTAGCGTCAGAGGGTTCATGGCTGTTTGTCCCTCTCTGTGTTCTTTGTCACTGACCGGTAACCAATGCCGGCACATGTCAAGAGACCTTTTTCTACTCTGAATAACCACAGGCAATGTGAAGTATGAGTTGCATACAGTACAGATAAAAAACTTTCCAGTTGGTAAAAAACCCATTGGTTGGTGGGTAGTAGATTGTGTAGCTAAAGAAGCTATTTATCAATAGAATTGCAGCCCTTGTTGGAGGGAAATTGCCTGATGAATTTTTCAGACCTGGCAGACAATACAGAGCACATATTTTTGAAGCCAGAATTTGACCTAAAAATCATTATACTGTTGCTTAACATTTTTTTAAAAATTCCTTTTAATACCATCCAACACAAATTGTCCTCGTTTCAATGCTCATGGTTCTCGCTTCATCGGAATAAGATTATCTGAATTAGAAGATGATCCTAAAAAGGATAATTCTGTAGCTGGAAATTATTTCAGAATGTCCAAACATTTAAAAATGAGCTAGTAAGATTGTGAGGTTAATTTGTGCAATTCCCCAAATCAAGTGTTTGTCATTAAAATATATTGCAAAGGTCTTTACTGGAGACCTTTTTTTTTTTTTTTTTAAATCTTAAGCTATAAAAAAGTCTAACAACAACAACAACAACAATAACAACAACAACAACAAAAATCTCACCAAGCCCCTCAGCCACATAAAGCTGGGAAAAAAAACCCAGCTCGTAGTGGGGACAAAAAAATATGATGATTTTTTCCGAAAGAATGCTTGTTGGTGATGTATTGCTTTGTTTACTGTATACTTTACTAGTTGCAAAAAGGGTTCATAATTTTAGGGGGTTGATGGGACTATACTCTCCTCTCACCCTGAGCACAGGATGAATAAGGTTCAGTATCCCTGCAGATGCCAGAGCAGGACCACTGGGTCCTGCTACAGTTTAGGAAATGAAATCTGTGTAGAAGAACCTAATGGAGAGTCACTGCTCCTTGGCTCTTCAAGACAGGAAACTAGCACCATGTCGGGCTTTCTAGTGGGGAGCATTCCCTTTCCACTGCCTCAGTTCCGAGGAGAACTGACCCATTAACTGAAGAGTTAATTCCCAGCTATGCCTCCCTTGCCTTTCTAGTCACCAAATAACTGTTTTCCAACAAGAAAAGGGGAGTATAATCTTTAATTGTGGTACTCAACCAAGCAGGACAACAAACAGCAGAAAGATGACCTCAGTGCTGGAAATGTAACCAAGACACCTAAAATGCTGGGGTGTTTTTTACAATCCCTTTAGTAAGTATGAAAATTGGTAACGTGAGTCCTCAGTGAAGTTATTGTAGGAAAAGTCCTTTTATTCGTTATTGCTTTTCTCCTCAAGAGGTGCATTATTTCCATCTCTGCTTTGTCTGATTTTTCATGTTCACTGACTTTGCCTGGGCAGCCTCACCTCTTACCTTGGTGCCAGTGTGTCTAAGAAAGTTTTTTTCCCCCGATTCCTTGTAATCAAATACTAGGGGCAGGAAGAGATGATGCCTAGGTGACAGAACACTGCAATTTGAAGTGGGGCAGTAGTTTTTTAGACAGGCTCTTCCTATTCAACTACAGAACACCTCTGTGCCAGTCCATGCCAGGGCAGAGACCAGGAGGACGAGACTTCGACCGAAATGTCGCTGCCCCTCTGCTCGAACAGATGAACAAAAAAACAGAATCAAAACAAAACGAAAACAATCAACGACAAACGAATGAAAGATTCAATGTTGGCTTTCTTCAGGGCATGGCAGAATGACAAGTCGAGAGTGATATCTAGTTGCTGCCACCACTATTGCAAAGGGCTGCTGAGTGCCCCTTTATTTCCAGGTAATGGAACCTCTCCAACAGCTTCTTCTTTTCTACTTTCACGCTGCTTGCTGGTAACAGATTGGATGTGTGTTCTAACTTACTGAGATAGTAACTAAAATCTCTGTAAAAAGGGGTCAAGGGGCGGGATGATGGGAGAATCACCCACATGTTTAAAAGGTCTCCCTCTAGCCATCAATTTGTGGCCGATGACCTTTAAGGTTATCAGTAACAAAATGTCTGACAGCTCAGAAAATGTACAAGCTACAAACATCTTTAAGTGGCAGAGTACACAGCACGGAAAACAATGCCTGTCTCTTCAGCATTTGTGTCACTGAGCTCCCAGGCCAGTGTGCGGATGGTTCTCGTGTAGTCGCGATGGGGGTTACCTTCAGCCCGAAAGGAGACGTGTTCCTTCTTTTTCCTGCCCTGGTTCCAGACATCGTGGGATGGTGATGCCCTTTTTGCGTTAACACTGTGGAGGGGATTCAGCCCTGCTGAACGGGGTGCCGCTAAGAGACCCAGCTCTTACGCTCAGCTGGACAGGTGGCGTGCCTCACACCAGCATGTGCCTCCGGCGGTGCAGGGCCAAGTGATCTGACCGGGAAAAGCTGCGATCGCAGTCCGCGCACTTGAATGGCTTCACTCCCGTGTGTTTGCGGTAATGCCTCGTTAGTTCATCCGAACGGGCAAACTTCCAGGTGCAGCCTTCCCAGGTACACTTGTAGGGTTTCTCTCCTGGAAGAAACAAAGGGACACACGCTTTGGCATGCTGTCGCTTCTCCGCGACAACCACGCCAGCACTCTATTTCGGGAAACTGTCCTTCTCCATCAAGTTTCCATTTGGTTAAATTCGTTGTCAGGAGACCTTACCATCCCACCAGCAGGTCTGGGGGCAGACAGGGGAGGGTTCCAGTGTCCTCTTTCCTGCTGTGACATCTGGCAACTTAGTTAACATGTGGGCCCTCAGTGATGACTCTGCTGCCAAGATATCAAAAGGCTTAATAGGGTGACTGGCACTGGATCGCATCACCACTGGCAGACTAAAAAGAAATTATTAGAGCCCTACCGAGTGTGAGTCGGTGCTAAGGCTGAAAGTCAGAATTATAAATGGCAGCCAGTGACGCTTGGCTTCAATACCACCTCCCCCCAAATGTGCATCACTTAGATGGCTTAACGCTATTTTAGGACACAATGTCCATTTATTAGTCACCGAGTATATGCCCAAAGTTTCATTAAAAGGTAAAGCACTCCACTACGCCCAGAAATTAGGTATTAAGTACTCATTATTCACAAATATCTACTTTTTGCTTATCTGTTAGGAAAGAACCCTAGATATCTTATTGGTGTGAAGTTTAAATACATTTTTCAGGACTTCGGAATTAGGGCGAGCCCTGAGGAGTTATCAGGTTGGTGTGGGCACTGAAACTGACAGAGAAAGGCAGTCTGAAGAAGCATGTAATTTGACCAGATCCCTCATTCAACTTGTAAGGACAGTAAAATATGCAAAAGCTGGGCTGGGAAAAGTTACACTGCCCATTGTCCAAATGAGGTCCCAGGAGGAGTGGGACAATAGTTGACCCAGGTGAGTTGTATCCTGGCCCTCAATCAGAATGGGTGCCCTGTCCCCATGCAACCCCACAAAAACTGATCTCTCCTCCTGCCCCTTACACCCAATAGTCTACAATGCACTTCTTGGCCACACACAGCCTCTGATGACAAGGGCCTAAAATAGTGAAGAGAGCTATTTGCTAATCTCCATGTATGGAGCTGCAAAGTGAGTACTGTTAACCCCACTTTACAGATGAGAAAACTGAGGCTCAACATAGTTACTATATTGAGTAAAAAGATAAGGCACTCCACTTTACCTTTAGCCAGAAAAAAGATGTGCATGGCTCTGAATCCTGTGCTTTTCATTATGCTACTGTGCAATGGATAATTCTTACCCCATCTAAACTTTGACACATCCTCAGAGTTAGTTGTACTTTCCCAAGTACTTTCAATTTGTTTACTTCCTATTTCTATTAAATCACCTATCACAACGTACCATAAAGATTGTGTTTAGATACCTTTTTTCTCTACCATCTTCAGAGCCCAGAATAGGTGCCAAGCAAGTATATGAATGAATTAATAAAACTGCAACATACACACACACACACAGAAACATGTACATAGGAAACTACTAAACCCTATAAATGAGATGTACAGGTGATGCCTACATGGGGAAACAAGACCAAACTGCACCCAATATTTTTCACTGAATTGTTAAGTCAATGTTGTCTATATCGGTCCTTTTAGGATCAAGTGGCCATTTCTGAAGAGTGAATAGTTCACACCTGTTAAATCTAGAAATACTGTTGCACTAATTGTAGACCACAGGATGCTCCAGGTTACTCTAAAAGGGCTCCTTTAAAGTGAGAACATGACTGGAATGACCCAAAACCTCAACTTCTGATTCATTCTGGCTGTCTTAAAGAGACAACATCTACATTTGCATATCTCTACTGACCAGAGTATGACAGAAATGAAGCAAACAAAAATCAGCAAAACCTCTAACTTAAAAAGACTGGAGGTCTACTACACAGTGCATCAATGGTAATTATTAACATGCTTTTACATGGTATCTGCCTTCTCTATATGTTTTTAAAGTTTATATCATGAGCATGTGTTCTATTAAGTTGAGCTGGATATAAATCATCTCTTCAAAAATACATCTACCTTTGGTACAGTGAGCTTAGCTAGTTGGATGTTTGTCACCAACAGGTATCTCCTAGCTATGCCCTGTGTTACTATGGAACCAGCTACAGGGAGTGTTAAGTCTTGAGAAGAATAAAGGGTCTTCTTAATTGGAGAAGAGCATTTCTCAGTTGTGTGGTAGGAGGAAGCGGCATGTAGGATTGGAAAAGCTTCTGACCCTGCCTTGCCATTCTAGATGGTGGAGGAAGGGGTTCCATATCCGGGATGGGACCAGAAGATAAGCAGGGGTGACAAGAGGCAGAAGAGCTTCCAGGCTCTCCTTAAGAAGAATGTGAGGGGCTGGTTTGGCCCAAAGTAGACATAGTTCATTATGTTAGGTGCTGTCTAGATTTCCTTGCACAGCCAATTCAGACACTTAACATTTTCTAATTTCTTCCTCAAAATGATAATCGTCACACTTCTATTTTCATTTTGGCTATTTAATAATGGTAGTTATGTCCTCTCTTCTTGGCGGGTAGTAAATTGTGGCCTCCACTTTTACAATTCTAAAGGTTGAAAAACGAGGATTATTTTGTGCATACAAAAATCCCATAAAACTTAAATTTTAGTGTCTATAAATAAGTTTTTATAGGGACACAGCACATTCATTTGTTTACACACTGTTTTGGCTGTTACATGTTGTTAACACTCACCTGACGAGGGGTAGGTGAGTGGAATTTTTGGTTATAGTGTAATCACGTATTCTCAAATTAGGATCCTTGATTCAAATTCTATCAGTCTTCTCAATAATAAACGCATATGATATTCCATGTCAAACACTTTATGTTCTGGGCAACAGGAAATGAGTGTCTCTCCTGACAGGTTCACCTAATTCTATCAGACTTAAAAAAAATTAACTTTAGGGTCTTTTTTGGCATTAAAAAGGATAATCACAATAGGGGTTACCTTCAGACCAAAAGTAACGTATGAGGGTGAGGGTCAGAATGAAGGAAGGTACAGAAATGCTGCTCTACACTTTACCTGGTAACCCAAAGCAATGATTCTACATAATGATGGAATCCTGCCCCATCTCCAACTCCTTTAAATACGGTCGTGGCCACTGTGAACAATGATGAGCTACTATTCTATTGAGCCCAAAAAGGGAGGACGCAACTGATGGGAAGGCTGAGAAAATAGGAGCTTACATGTTTGGAATCATTTCTAAAATGGATATTCTAAAGGGGGGAAGGGCAGGGAAAGCAACAACTGTAGCAGTGATTTGTCTTTAAGTGCACAACTGTGAAACAGGGAAACATAGCCAAATCTGAAAAGCAGTCTGTGAGGTCGGAGCAACTGTAATAAGTGATCGTGAAAGACAAGGCAAACGGCCTCAGAAACACGAGGCAGATATTTCCCTACTCCATGAATAAAACCATCTTAAAAATGTATGCATAATATTCTTTACCCTCATTGCTTCATTAATAAAACTGGAGTTTAGGCATTCTCTCTTCATGCTTAAAATAACGAGAGAGAGAAAAAGAAAACAAGATCTTCTGATCTCTCTTCACAATTAGAGGCTAAGGTAGGAGGCTAGGGAGAGAGAAGAGGCTACCCTGACCAGGCAGAGAGAGCTGGCTTCTGCCTTCTTTCAAGAGACACCTAGGTTTTGATTAGACCCACCAAGTGCCCAGCATTTCATTTCAAAAATTCAATAAATTAATGAATGTTCTCTTTGGACTAGTCAAGTTTTAGGAACGGATACAAAAATTTTAGTAACTACTGCATTGTGTTTAACTGCACATTATTTTTTTATGCTTGAGCACTGAAGCAATTTAAAGGGTGCAGTCTTATAAAACACATTAAGATAACAGAAATGAACTTCATGATGTGAGTGAAAAACTAATTAAAATGATAAACAAGATCATAAGATATCTAGCAGTACGTGTAAACAAGTCCTGCAAGATTTTTAATGAGGAACAGACTCTTCCATTTTGTCTTCTTTCCTTTAAGACTTGCTAGAAAAATAGCTAAATTTAATTTTAAAAAGTCAGTGGCAGGGACAGAATGGGAGGTGAATTTTCCATGACAATGTTCCTATGGAAAGAGCTGGTTCGGACAATAAAAAGAATCAGACACCTCCCACGGCCTGGGCTGCGACTGCACCCAGCTGCTCTGCGTCAGCCTGAAGGACAGTGATCATAAACATGATTTCCACTGATTTCTTCAGAAATAGTGAATTCTCCTTAAATTTATTTGAGTTAGAATCCTGTGAATGCATTATTTAAAACCCTTTTCCCTGGAAATAAGCTAAAAATAAAAATAGCCTGCACTCCTCCTTTACTCCTTTTGTCAAACCCACAATTATAACAACTTAATTGTCCAAAAATCAGGGACTTAGTTAAAATATTCAATATGATTCTCCTACATGATGAAATGCTAACATTAAAAAATAATGAGGAACATTTATGCACATGAAAGAATACTCCAAATATCGCTGCCAGTTAAAAACAATATATACAATAAGATTACATCCTGTTCAATATTGAATATATAAAATATGTTTCATATTTCCATATGCTGACAGAGAGAACTACTAAAATAAACACAGTGGTTTTCCCTGGGGAAAAAAAAAGTATGCATATGATGCCTCGACAAATTCTTTGAAAACGCATTTAATATTTTTCAACACTACCTGAAGTTTTGACTCCAATGTCAGATTTAAAAAAAAATTCTGGCTTCTTATATTAATCATATGAAATGGTGAAATTACAGGAAAAGGTATGGTATATTTCTTTGCCAGTTAGTGTAAGCAAGTGACTTGTTTTTCAGTTGAGATGTTATGTTGTATAGAAAAATCAAAGGACGCGAGTTGGGTGACCTGTGGCTAGCTGCACGGTACCATGCCTGCCACTCCTTGAGGTACAGTTTATTAACTTCTAGGTCTTCCATTGTGAAGTAATGGTCTCTATGTCCCATGACAAATCTTTAGGCTATTTCGAGCTTTTGTATTTTAAAAAAAGAATATGACCATTTTTAGCACAATCTGTCCTTCTCAGTTCTGT